TGGACAAGCTAATCTTTGACTAGCACAGTCAGCCAAGACAGAAACTTTTCTGATAACTGCTCGTGTCATTGATCTTCACCTCGGTCAGCTCGCTGCAGCCTCACACTTGTTCTGCCTGACTCTTGCAGGGCTGCTGTGGAGCAGTTAATAATGATTTCTTGTCAAACTTCTCCAACTGTGGTAGCTTATGTGATGTGGTTTAGCTTTTCACATGTTTCTTTGTATTGACATTTAGACCAGAAGAATTAACATAAAGGTAAATGAAAACATGTATTTCAACAGCTTCATGGTTTTGTCTTTTAAATAAACAAAATCATTCTTTGTTACGTAAGTTTATCAGAATAACAAATTTAGTAATTACCCCTCCTTACAAATAATAATCAAGAAGTCACATCTCATTTTCTTCACATAAAAAAATCTTTTAGCAATCTCCATTATTGGACAGTGTCTGAACTTTCATGCAAAAGAATCTGTAGAAATTCCACATATTTCTTTCATTTAATTATTTATTTAACTTTCAAAAAGTCTGTTGTGCAAATGAGAGGAGCAGTATACAAGCAGAATTCAACTAAGGGAGGCAAGTCATGCCTATCTTACTCTTTAAGTTAATGGGATGCCACACGTAAGAAAGATGAGTTATGTTGCATGGATCTCTACAGGCTCTACAGGTGACTGCAGACAGATCTGTGTTCTGTTATTGTCTGTCACACAAGAGCAGAAGGTGTTCTGTCTTGTCAAGTTTGTTCTTTATACCTATGCACATGTTGGGCTGGAATCACAACTTCATTGCTTTGTTTCTATGCCAGTGAAACTATACTGGAAGACAGAATAAAATGAGAAAATGAAGCAAATTAGGCATGCTGATTTGAGATGGAACACTTTGCATGATTGTCTTACTCCTCTGGAGCATCTGAATTAGTTTATCCAACTTGCTTATATCCCACAGAAAGCAAGGCATAGTATAGAAAGATGATTCTGGATAAGAAATGTGACTCAAGTTCTAGGATCTTCTATACAATTATAATTTCCTTTTCTTCGTTTAGTATTGCAGTCACATTGAATATGTACACATATAAGGATATACAGTTATGTTAAACTTGCAGGCATTAAGTGAGGGATGTCATTTTTTTCCAAGAGGAGTAACTCCACATCTTTGTCCTATGTATGCCAGGAAACATATGTTTCTGTCACTTGATGAGATCCTTGTCCTTTTATTCAGTCAAAAAATACATTAGTATCATATGAAAGATATCCTGATTTTCATTTCTGTAGTATCTTCCAAGCCTCCTTGCTTGCAAGGAGCAGTGTTACAGTTCACAGGCCTGAAAAAAGAGCAGTGTTCCACCAAGCTCTATGACAAGCACAGACTATTCCTTTCTGGTTCACACAGGCCGTTTTTTCCTAGTTGGCTCTCCAGCTATCCCAGAAATATTTCCAGTATTACAGATTTGCAGAGGACAGCTGTCTACATTCAACAGCTGCATTTAATTTAAGCATTTTATTTCCATTTTCAATTCAGTAACATTTCCTTAGGTTCTCAGTATTTTTTAATTATTTGAGCAAAAATGTCTTTCAAAATAAATTTTCAATTCTGCTCTCAGGTCACTGCCACCCATACAAAAATCTAATTTCAAAATTTAAATCCTGATAATGTACAGCCTGTTAGGTAATGGTGACAAAAAGGTGATCCCTGTGCACTGTGACAGGAGCAGGAAGCCTGAGGGTGGGGGGAGCCCCAACAGCCCCACCACGCAAGAAGAGCCCCCCTGCCCCAGCCCCTCCTGGTGCCACAGGAGCTCTGTCTAAGGGCTGCTCCTGGAGGGGTCCACATTGCATATAGGTAGGTAGGTAGGTAGGTGTATACATATATATATATATATTCCACTAACAGGCCTTCATCCTGATCAGCCAGGGAGGGGAAGAGGAAGAAACCTTTTGTGTCTGTGTGAGCGCCGAGCGTGCCTGCCCGTGTTGCTCCATGTGGTTTGCTGTGCACCCATGTACGTGTGTGGTACAGCGTGTGCGCGTGTGCCTGCTGGCAGCTCACGCTCAGCCACTGGCAACTCAGGCCCAGCCTGGCTGCTGGCAGCCCCTGGGAGCACAACGCTTGGGCAGCCCGGCCTCCCTTGTGCTGCCAGATCCGCAACCCCTAACACAACCCATGAGGCAGCCGCTCTGTGAGACAGATGTCAACAGCCCCGCTTATTCAATGCAAACCGCTATGTTAATAACGGGATATCATTTTGAATGCTAGAGTACGTATTATGCTTTCTTACTAGCCAACCGAGGAAACACATACCATCACGTTATTCACAAGCTACAGGGAATAAAATCAGTTATGCTGAACTTTTTCTACTTGCTTAAAAGGTCAAATAGCGGATAGCTGAGATTTGCATCACATCAGATGATGGTAACAGTTCCTTCGGACTGAAAAGAAAGAATGATACTGCCTCTCAGGCAAGCATTTCATTCCGGAATTACTGGAGCGGGGGGGGCGGGGTTGTTAAACGTGGCTCCTATGTCGCGACACCCGCCTTGTTT